GACACACACACACACACACACACACACACACACACACATACACACACACACGCGCGCGCGCGCGCGCGCGCACACAAACACAAACACAATCACAAACAAAACCGCACGAATTTATGCATGCAGACAGACAAACGTTTCCATAGCAATCCACAGTTGCACTAGATACTTAGTATTGGTTTTAAGTTTACTCTTCTTGGCCAGTTTTCCTAGATTATGTGTCGACCGTCTTGACGGGTTGATGCAAAGCTGCTTTTGGAGTCAAATTTGATCAAGGGAGCAAACTGTTCAAAGTGACTTACATAGGGTTTCCCTTAGTTTTGCCCCTTCTACTATCACTTACCGTGGTTGACCTAAATGTGCCCTTCATGTGAAGGCAAGCAGCCTAACTGTCCCACCAAAAACGTCAGTTAACGGTCTGAGAGTAGGCTTATCTTATTCAATGTGCGTGTGTGAGTGTGGAAAAAGAGGAAAAGGGAAAAGGGGGGAGGGGACATTTCATTCATGCTACCAGAGTTTATGAACTATCTGAATAATATTAATGTATTATCTCGAGTTATTTCCCTTGCAGTTGCAGCAGGCTTTTCCCTGAACACCAAACAATACAGTTTATAAGTTTTGTTGAGTTTTTATGTTGTTGTTGCTGCTTTTGTAGTTGTTTGTTTGTTTGTTTTTAGATAGTACTCTCTGTTCCAATTTCTAAACACGTCAAGGGTGTTCCACTAAAAGTAGAAATTCTAAAAAATCTGTGAAGATATCCAACGACGCAAATAATCTCTCAGTTTTATAATGAACAGTATAGTCAAGGAAGGTCAAGCGAACATGTATCACACTCACTGGCGGTGACTAGGCAACTGATGCGTCTCGTGCAATATGTTTCCTTCTGAAAGGGAAGTGCAATGACGATGAAGCGGTCACAGGCCAGGCAAACATTCATCCATATGGAAATTGTAATAGTGGTGAAGATCAGGTGGTCGTATAATCTGAAGACGAGAAAAATTCAATTGTTTTAATTAAATATCGAGAACAATAATAAACTTGGTAATATTATGGCCAAATATTCCTCAGCTGACAGACTTTAAAAACAAAGTGAAATTGTAACAACAAGTAAAAAATTAACTACACAATATAATGCCCAACTGTGGTCTACGAAAACCTTCGCGTCTCTCCAGAAGAGACAAAGTTATTTTCAAGAAATGATATACTGAACGCATCTCCCTAACGCAGTGATACTGCCGGCAATGTGATATTTTTAAGTCAATTATTATCATCCATTGATCAGGCATATCCTAATCAAATTCCTGACTTTAGAGTATTTCAAATGCACTAATTGGAAGGATAATATTGATCTGCATCCTTAGTCCAAGTAGAGCTCTTGACTTTATAGAGACCATTTGTCAGTACGCTAAAAAATTTATATAGTGATGTTTTTAACATGTAGATAACTGTTTTGCTGCTAAATTTCCACTGTGAATTTTTAACTTCAACCTTTCCAACTTTACCACACAAAAAAACCCGGCTGTAAACTAACGTGAAAATAACCAACTTGCGCCCCTCGTGTAATATGACCTTATTATACAGTTGCGAGTAGTGTAAAACTCATACCAAACAAATGATGATATCATCATCATCATCATCATCATCATCATCATCATCATCATCATCATCATCATCATCATCATCATCACCATCAAATGACGTGTTACCTGCATGTAAACTAGGAGGTGAGATAGTCTCTGATCTGCCAATCCCGCCAGAATTTGATGCAAGAGTCTGTAAACACCAGGAAGAGGAAGAGGAAGTCATAAACAGAAGAGGTGCTCAGATACACCGAGAAGGACAGTCTCCTGTAGCTCTTGGTCAGCGTCACGGCCAGTAGAAGCGCGCTGCTTGGCTAGCAAGTAAGAAGAAGGAAAAATCTAAACTGTATCATGGAGTGGTTGAAGGCGCCTTGACACACTGCAAAATCATTTATTAAGAAGCGGTATCTCCTAATTTAACGTCCTTTTCTGATAGGACCGAGTCGAATGGTAAGATTCATGTAAAGACGTGCCTCACCAGATGGAGCTAGTCAAAAGGAGAATAGAAAGAAAAAGAGATGAAAAAAATGGAGACTGCTTGTTAAAAATAGACAGAAGAACAATTGTGTAGAAATCAAACAAAACGTTATGAAATATGGTAGTGGTATTAATTATGTCATTATCAACAAGGTCATGTTGGTAAAGAGACAAGAGACGATGCTTGAAAAAAAAAAAGAAGAAGAAGAATATTCCAGATAATAATTATTCCAATGGGGCTACTCTTCTACATTCTCATAAAAGAAAGTCTTGGAAAAGTTTTTAACCCTGCGCCAACAGTCCTTTTATTTTATTTCCATTGTAATTGAATGGGTAAGCATTATGTAGCGAAGTCTTTAATAACCGTGAGTTTATTCTAGAGGCTTGCTAGGTGTGTAGAAAGCCTTTAAAACTCACAAACAACTCAAGTTCAAAATTTGGGATTCGAAACAAGGTCATCAACATTATTGTCAACCATGTTTGGGCAACTCAACATGTCCTTTTTTTACTGCTCGAAAGTAGCTGTGCATAATTATAAAAATAATAATAAATTACATAATGTACAAGCCGCATTTCCATTGAGAAAGACTTTCCTTTCTTTCTGGGGGGGGGGGGTATCAATCAAAATTAACAAGTTTAAGTATTTCCAAAGCGGTTCACCGTTCGGCTGACAGATTTGTTTGATTTTTAAAAATAAGAATGGGGGGATCAAGCGAAAATTAGATACTATCTGTTTAGCTATTCTCTCTCTTCCTTCTCTCTCTCACTCTCTCTCTCTCTTTCTTTCTTCTCTTTCTCTCTCTTTCTCTCTCTCTCTCTCTCTCTCTCTCTCTCTCTCTCTCTCTCTCTCTCTCTCTCTCATGACAAAAAAACAATCGGATTTTTCTCGTTGTTTACAACTCCCTCCTGAAATATAGTAGTTGATTGGGGGGGGGGGAGAAAATATGGCAACTTAGTTACTCCCAGTTAGGATACTGAATGTGTTGTACAGCCACATGCAAAACAGTCAATAATATAACATTACAAACTAAAATGGTGGTATAGCATCGCTGATCGCCGCGTTGCAGAGCTCTTTTTTTAGTTAAGGGGAAAAACACATAATATTCGAAAATTATTTTTTGAAAACTAAAGTAAACTAAACCTCAATGATGCACTTACCATCCCGATGAAACCTGTGACCATTCCCAATATTTGTCTGTAGATATCCGTCATTGTATAGACAAATACCGGGGGTTTGTTGGGCTCCGTTACAGAAAAGTTAGATTTTGTCTCAGCAAAGGATTCATTGTCAGAGTTGTATGTTTTATTCGTGTCATTTCCAAAGACGTCCACGTCGTCAAAGAAGAAGGTCACCATATCAGTGGTATTCCACGATGAGTTTCCTTGCTGAAATGCCATGATTCTGTAGAAAACATGCAACAGTTACAAAGGCTGAAATGTTTGCAGAGTTAGTATATGTATAGTATAAGGTTTTACGGCGCTCGCAACTGCTAAGGTCATATGAGCGCTTGCAGAGTTATTTGGAAAAGCAATCACGATGTGTTGATAAGTTTGTAAAAGAGTACTACGCCATAGAGACATTATTAGATTCTTTATGAGGCAGGCTTCTCTGACTCTGCCTTTGAGGGACTGGGGTACGCAATCCAGGGGAAAGTACGAGATTCTCCCACTATTGATCGGACTCACTTCTTATTCTTACAACATGAAGATCTTAACCATAGTAATAAAATAATATTCCTGTCCCAACTTGATGCATTCTTAAAGGGTTTATTCTTACAGGGGTCAGTGTTGTTTGTTTGTTTTGTTTTTGTTTTGTTTTTTAGTTCTTGTCTTTTGTTGCGTTTTGGGGGGGGGGGGGGGTTGGGGGGTGTTGTCGTTTCTTTTTATCTATTTTTTGTTAGCTGCGGAGAAGAAACGGATTGAGCGAATTCGTCGTCCGGATGACGTTTCGGACATCAGGTGTTTTCCATGTAATAACTTCGCTCTGGATTTTAAAGGAAACACACACACCACTTCGTGGTTAAATCAAGTGCTCGTCAAAATACTGAAAAAGAAGAAATCGACATTTTTTCGCTCGTTTTGGCATTTTTTGTCAATTTTTATGTTTTGTTATTGTCGAAGTTATTGTTGTTGTTGCTGTTGTTGTTGTTGTTGTTGTTGTTGTTGTTGTTGTTGTTGTTGTTGTTGTTGTTATTTTGGGCTCAACGCCTGTTATGTCCACTTACAAAGAATTCTGCACGGATTGGATTTATTAAAAAACGTCGATCAAAGGCACATAAAAACTGAATTTGTAGTTTACCAGGATGCTACAGCTTTGAAGTTTAATCATCAAACCTTGGCGACCATTTTCAGCTAATTTCACCTCTGACACCAGGCAACCTTCGCCGACTTCAGTCGCAAATATTTCGACTACTATTCAAGATAGATGGGCATTTTCTTCTTCAAAAGCAAGGTAAATGAACAGGCTTTAAGACTTTTAACAATAACTCGATTTAATCATGCCCCAAAATTAACGAGTGCGTGATTCCATAGCGTCGTGACACAAAGATCTAGAGCGAATTATGTGAGCCATATTATGCTTCACAAATATCCAGGAATTTAACTGCTGATAATTTTTTTTTTATACATGCATTGGTCATATTGCTGATGATGCGTGCTCTTATATTGTTAAACTTTGAATGAATTTGTGAAGCTGATTCTGTACGAATAAAAACATATGATCCCCCCCCCCCCGGAGTTTCTCTCTCTCCCCCCCCCCCCCCCCCCCACCTTTCCCCTATCTATTCCAAGAAACCAATTCCATTGACCTTGGAAGTCATGGTCTGTAGTTGTTTTTGGTATATTATCGTCAAAGCGTAAGTACCAACATCTGAGGTGTTACCGTTAACCTCTTCGTGCTTGCACGAAAACGACAGTTCGACATTCCTGCAGAAAAGTTATTTTATCAAGTATCTCCCACCTGCTGTCTGCTGAGTTGTTATATCCCGCTTATCCCAGTCTCACCCTGCCAGATGGGGTCAAAGCAGCCTGCTTCTTAAAAAATCAAGATTATATCGACGTAGGAAAAAGAGAGAGGAACATAACAGATAGATCTACAGACAGACGGACAGACAGACAGACAGACAGACATGTTAACCATTATAGTGTACACGTAAGTCTTATGACTAGGACGAATAAACACGTTCAGAAATCAATCTACGATAATAAATAATAGTACAATAATAGACAATCTACGATAGGATAATAATTCGCATAACAGCCAAAGGATCGTACTATTAGGATTATTAAGAAAACCTGTATTTGTGTTCTTAAATTAATGACACATCGTGACCTAGAGGTTAAGGTGCTCACCTCTCATTCAATATGTCTTGGATTCGATTCCGGATAGCGACGGAACATTTTCTTCTCTAAAATTTTCTCCTTTCACATTCTTTCGTGCTTTATAACAATGTTCTGTCATCTGCTTTCGTCTCCACTTTCTGACCCAACCGCCTCACCCCCTTTGCCCCCTCCTCTGGGCTCCTGACAAACTCTGCTAAATAAGATAAAATGTAAAAAATATACAATATATGGCCATTTAAAACGACCCGAAAACATAGTGTTAGAGGCGGCTGAAGGAAAGATGTGGGACAGGAGAGTCAGAGGAAGGCAAAAAATAACATGGACGGACAACATAAGAACGTGGACTGGCCTGGATATGGCAGAATATTGTGCAACGGCAGCTCACGACCGTATAGGATGGAGGGTTATTACACACCAACTTCTAAGTCAGAGATTACACCTCCAGATAGGTAGGAATGTAGGTAGGTAGGTAGGTAGGTAGGTATCTATTGGCTGATACTTTATGTGTAGGTAGGTAGGTAGGTAGGTATCTATTGGCTGATACTTTATGTGTAGGTAGGTTGGTAGGTAGGTATCTATTGGCTGATACTTTATGTGTAGGTAGGTAGGTAGGTAGGTATCTATTGGCTGATACTTTATGTGTGTTTTTTTATGTGTTTTTTTGGCCGCTGTCACCTCATACAGCAGAAGTTTTAGCAGTGAAGGGATAAGTTGTTGTGGGGTTTTTTACGCAGAAGAGAAGGAAAAAAAGAGAGAAAAAAGGGGGGGTAGGAGAATGGACAAAGGAGGAAGAAAGAAAGGGGATTGGGATAGCGGGAGACGACGGGGGAGACGCTGAAAATGTTCTAAGAAAGAAAGGGCTTACAAAATAAGATCTTCAGGGTGTACTTACCACGGAGAGTGATTGGGGCGGAGGGGGGGGGAGTAGCATAAGACACACATAGAAAGATAAACATCCTTATCTCACACAAAATCGAAATGGAGGCTTTGAGAGTGTAAATTTTATTTCCTTCCAGTTGATAACGACTTTGCTTTTTGAACGGCACAAGGCCTGTAGCAATGTTCTTTGTTGTAAGTTTCATTCAAACTACTCATTTTCACTGTTTGAGGGGAATAAAACTGGCTATTCAAGAGGCCTGTTTTCTTCTTTGTACTTTTTTTCATTTATGTACTCCGTTCCTAGACAAATAAAAGTTTAATCTTGATTCATTTAAAATCGTTTTTCTTTTCATTCAAGCCAGCATAAAATTAGTAAAATAGTGAAAAACTGTTCAATGTTACGAAAGTTGTTATCAGGTTAATATTATGCTCTTCAATTGAGACATGTGGTTTTAAAACTGCAAGTGATTATGTTGTTTTGAAGTGAATTAATGTTTCTACTATGCATTTGAAAAGGACAACACGAGCCAAATACAACGCTAAATTAGGTGAGGGCTCCGCTCGCGTTGCATTCAGCATCCGAACTAGAACAAACCGTGTCCTTAGCTAAAAAAAGATGTGATAAAAAGTAAACTTTAGCCCTCCATTCAGAACTTACTTACCTAGTGTGCACATCAGGGGCCTTCACTCTCGTAGAGCCACACATGGGTCGCTATGATAGCAATAGTGAAGGCACTTTTTAATTTGAATTTTAAAATGAGGGAGAAAGGATGGGAATGTACTTTCACCCCC